GAAAATGAACAATGAAAGCTATGTGTTTTTCATTAAACGTCGAGTGATATTTAATGTATTTACGATAACTTGAGTCGGAGGTAGCTTGTTGTTTGTCTTACGAGGAATACACAACGACTCAGTGAAACAAAATCAACACATTTTTCAATTCTAAAAGTCACGTATAATATTCAAATACATAAAAAAGGGAATATGTGGCGAAAATTAGGTAAACGTTTGAATATTTCCAAAATTGCATTGAACATTCGTTGTGTCTACCAGTAAACAAACAATTCTTATCGTAAATGAACTACGATATGACACTATTTACGATGGTGTATCACATACATCTAAAACCGCACAGTTACATGTATTTTATATTAGTTAATAATAGAACAATTCACACTTCTCACAGATTAAATTCAGGCTCAATGAAGACGTATTGACAACACTGAACACGTTGTCAGTCAATTGGCACATACTCCTCATAGCCTTCTTTGCAACAAATTTTAGAATTGACACCGTGACGAAAAACTTAAATTACCCATGATCCCCTACTTCGTTCGCGTATGATGAACGCCCCAGAACACAATGTTTCTTGCGCGATCAGTTTAATAAATCTTATAGTTCCATATTCAATTAAAAACATTCAAGTGTGAAGCACATTTATTAACCAGGTTAAATTACTAGTATTTTAGGCAGTATGTGTCTCACATCTGTTGTCAAGCAGTGCGTACCTACATGTTATTTAACAATGCAGTGTACACATATTGTATATGTTTATCCCATATCAAATATGGCGCAGTGAGACAAGTGTGAGTTAGGCTTAAATACTTTTGTTTTTCATACTAAATGTGTATCAAATACCATGATTCATAATCATTTACAACCAAAATTAGCAAAGTTACCAAACTACGTATATCTGAACGACGTTTTTTTTTCTTTTGACGCGCCGCAAAATTGACTACATTGTTATTGCTTTGTCGCCACTGCGAAGACACTGGCATATACCTGACACAGAGCTAATTAACACAAAACAACATGTTTTATGTGGTTTTAGATTTATTACACAAATATAAACATGATTGTAGTACACTAAACTCTCAGATAATTCATTTGTGTGTCTGTAAAACTCTAAAAATATCCATAAGCGTTATGATGGACAGTGCGTCGTACACCGCCACAGGTACACTATCATGTAAAATAGTACGGTAATGGTTTCTCTGTAGCACAGTTTTCAATTTGTTGAAACATTCTTCAACTCGGGGGAGTACACTGGCAAAAATACAAGTTTCATTGCCATATCTTTCCAACCAGGCTGACAAAGTCGTTCTCTCTCGTGTCTCTGAAACGATGCATTGTCGACTTATATAGTATCACCTGGTAGCAACATTGGTTGACCATCAGTTTTTAAATAAGGCAAAACAGAAATCAGGTATATGATAGCTTTCACCTCTACATTGGGAGAATCCTCCAACTATCATTATTTTTTTTTCATCTTTTAATTTTAATTTTATCTTATAGTTTGGCTACTGTATTTTTTATGATTTGTATTTTATTTACCATACTGCGCCCTCTGATGACATAGTAGTGTAATAAAGTTATTATATCATGTCCTCGGTTGCATCAACGAAACATCTCAAATATTCATTTGTATTTGAAGGTCCAGCAATGACGTCACTGTACTTCACTCCATTTACAGACTAAGGGAATAGTTGGCACTGTTTGCGTATTTACTAATCTCAATACATCTCTCCCCCGGGACCCGGGGAATGTCCATAGCGCCACTATTTATTTTTACCCCTGATTCATCCATGAACTTGACTGTGTGAGGATTTTTTGTTTGGATGTACTGAATAAAGGCGTTGTAATATCGTATATTTTCGGTAGTGAACTTTTGCTGTGGTATTGACCTAACCGTTTATGTGTCAAATTACGACCATTTAGTGCATACTTTGCTGGTAATAACCTCATATTATTACAAGTAATACTAGTAATGTATTGCTGGAAGAACAGTGAATATTCACTCACGAATAGTTTGGCCATGTTGAATTGCACTTCTGAAAAAAGAATATTAATACACACCAAAATAATGTTATTACACCCCTATACAAAACACTATGGAACCGTTGCCGCCAATTTACATTGTCGATTTCATAACACAGGGCTGTAAAACGGAAGGCACTCTGCAGCATCGTCAAGTAATTAACGATTTTTTTGGTTTTATCGTCCCAGCACTGCTAAAATACGTCGATGTATTTTTGTTAATTAATGTATATACCTTATTTTTCTTGCACTCCGTTTCATTTTACATAAAAAAATAAAAAAAACAGGGAACTATCCGACAATTTCCTCATTGAATTGAACTTATTTTTAGTTTATTCTCAAAATAATGTGATTACCGTCATCGGTATGTCATGGGAGATATTGATTGGACGAGTGTGGAGTGTACTTGCGCGCGGCCGTCACACAAACATTGTCGTTGGTCGACTTAAATACATTGTCAAATATTCATGATAATACACCTTGATTTAATTGATGTAATCATTTTGAATTGTATATTAACCTATATACACAATATTATTCTTAATGAAAACACTCGCTTAAGTATTAATTGTAGTGGTATGTGGCACGCTGTGACCTGGTACGAAATGCGCATGTCTCATGAAGTAACATGGGCCAAAAGGATCTTGTGGTACGAGGTGATTCAGGAATGCCGTGACGGTGACCCATCCCACCTGTCCGTCTGATACATGCCTGTATGTATAAGGGCCTGTCGTATACATCCGGGTCATCGATTCATGAAACACAACATCCTGAGCGAATACTATAAAACACTGACAATGATTGAGACATTCAATCACGCTATAACTGCGTGGGATGAAGCTCGAGACATATCGTGCATACCAAAGTGTAAGGGAAATAACAACCGCAAGAGTCGTACAGGGAAAATACATTACCATAACGTATTCTGGGTGACACAAGATATATGGTTTATATCCAAGATTGTGCGGTGATCACCAAGGTGTTCACAGTCTGTTTTGTTTCCAGGTTTTATTTACATGTACGTGCCTTGCATGCCGGGAAAAGTCGTTCTGTTTTATTACGTTCTACTTTTCTAGACAGGAAGAGAAAAA